TGTTCCCAGTTCATCATCTTTCTTCTCTATTCCTAAACTCCACGGCCTTATCAATATATTGTGCCCACAAGCTGCATCTTTCATCTACGATCCTCATGCTTTCCAAAAGCAGCATCCTCCAGGAAACCTTTTCACTGACATGTGTCTCTCTTTAACCATTTCCCCGGGCATCACTTGCCCACAAACTCTTTGTCTGCTCATGCAGTTTGGTTATTTCCTTATACAGGTGTTCCTATTTCCTTGCAGATGCTAAAATGAGGAGATCAGTCGCTAGCTGTGTGTGTCCTTGTCCCGTACTCGAATCCCAGACCTCTTAAGCAGCTCAAAAAGTACAATCTGATCTTTAAAAACCTATGCAGAATTTCCATGGCAAGACCCATGGATCTGCTCCTACCTGGGGCTCTTACCTGGACCAAATGTATAACGTGATTCATAAGAGGGTTAGAGGTTCTCTAAATATGAAGTTGCAAAAATGAAATAAGTGTTCAACACAGAAGTATTCAACCATTTTGATGTCTCTTAAGCAAATCACTCTAGTTTCCAGGGAGGTTGTTAGTGCTTTAGGACGAAACTGCTCTGTAGAATGACACCGCATAACCCTGGCACAAAACTTCATATCGCTATCACCTGGGCGCGGTAACTTGAAGACCGCTCACCATCGCTCTACCAAAGGTCTGACCCTGGCCCTGCTGAAGTCAACGCCTGAGTGATCAGGGAGTATCTACACTGCTTCTGCGGTGCTCTCAGGGAGGAAAGCAGAGGATGCCCAGACCACCAGGCCGCTCTCCCGCACGCCACGTCCAGGGGCCTTGGAGCTGCTCTGGGTTGCAGCACGTGGAGAGGAGCGTCCCTCCCCAAGAGTGCTGCAGGAGCAGGGCAGACCCCTGCCCCAACCATCTCGAGTGAAGACAGGGCTATACGCCAAGTTGGTTGCTCTGCCTCAGGTAGTGTGATGATGAGAGAAGACAGCTCTCACCTCAACCCAGGAGAGTCTGTGTTTTGTCACAAGCCCGAGACCCCAGCCCAGCTCCTCCAAAGAGCCACACATCTCTGGAGCGCAACGCGGGCTGATTTGCAAGTGCATCTCAAGCAGATTTAGTTCCAGGAGGCAATCGTGGAACTTGGGGGATTTCTGCTCAGAACAGGACAGTGAAAATCTCACTTCAGCACTGACCGAAGCAAAGGTTTTTCCAACATGCGGTAATAGTCACCCTTCATCATTATCGCCACCATTGCTATCCTGTAGTATTTAAGCTGTGCAGTTGCTCCAATCAAAGAAGCAATCGCTTGAAAAATCAAATCCATTCTCCTATGGGTTGTTTGTGCTATTGGCTTTCTGCGCGTCAGTTAGCTGGGGTGACTCAAATCATCTATTTTTGGTAAATGATCAATTTAAAGTTAATTTCCATTCCGTGTTCTCACACCCTAGCACGGGGGCATGACGTGTAGGTGGTAAACACTGAAGGGGAGCGTGCGTGTGTGCATGTGTGTGAGCGTGCGACACCTGCTTCCTGCAGGACTGAAAATAATGTCGGAAACATTTCTAGCCATCTTAGGCTGTGTTACTCCATGACCCTAAGATGAAAGTTTCTGTTACCATATAGATGGCAACAGGAGTTACACACGTGTCGGGACAAAGACAAGACCCTTGTCATCGGGACTAGTTTCAGGTGGCCCAACAGGGTATGTTACCTTTTCTTAATAAGATCCAGTGCTGAGCCTATGAATTCATCCTTCATTTTTTGTAGCTTAGCTCCATAGCTTGACAGGTCTGTGGCCTCTAACAGCAGCGACGGACAACAAGAAGATGGGGCTTCAGAAGCCAGCGACTGCTCAGCAAAGTGAAGGACTCCACTGAATTGCTTTGTGCCTAGTCCCTGCGGCTTGTCGCCGAAGACCTGCCCCTCCCTGCGGCGTGCTACTGACTGCAAAGGTGATCTGGGAATCGGGCTCGAGCAGATGGGGGACATCTCAAAGGTCTCATCCTTCAGCAGGTGCTGGCAGGCCCCAGAAGTGCTCATGGTGCTGAAGCCATCCCACATGGTTGTAATGTCTGGATAATGGGCAAAGCCAGAGGGGACGTGGCCTTCGTGAAACACGCTGTCATAGTCATCGGCCACGACGGCGGTTTCCTGGGCCGGTTTGGTTTCCAGGGCTTCCTGTGGAGAGTCTAGACAGGCATCCACCTTGCTCTCTCGTCCCAGGGTCTGGCTGGAAGGCAGCCCCTCACTCATGTGCTTTGCTGGCCCGTGGCTGCCGACAGATGGACACATCTCTTTGCTCCTCATCCTCTTGAACTCCTCAAAGGTGGGTATGTAGAGCCTCCCTCTGCAATGCCCTTTCTTGCTCAGCTCTAATGTCCCTTTGGTGTCAACGTCCCTATCGCACCCCCTCAGGGACTCAGCTGTTCTGGATTTGGCAATCTCTTGGCTTTCCCAGGCATGCAGGAGAGTCAGATTGGGAGAGCTATTCTGCCTCCGGAGCTGCAACCTCCTCCGAGCCTCCTGCTTGATGTCCTCCGGACTGGTAATCCAGCGCGACAAGCATGGCCTCGGCTTCCCCGGCCCTGATGCAGGGCTGGGGCCGAAGGCAGCGTGCTCCACGAACACCGCGCAACAGTTCACAGAGCATCCGTTCTTGTACTCCCGGCTCGTCTGGCATTCGGAGAGCTCCCGGCCGACCAGATCGGTCAGGGATGCCTGGGGACGCACGGGCTTGCAGGGCTCCACCGCCTTGGCGCTGTGCAGCCTCAGCTTCTCCTTCAGCTCTCTTTTGGCATCCCCGTGCAGGGCTCTCTCCTCCGCCGGAGGTAAAAGCCACTGAGGCACTTTGGCAAAAGGCAGGAGAGGTACGTTTCGCGCCGGCCTCGGCGTTCGCGTGGCATGGAGTGGAAGGTGCCTGCCAGGGTCCGCCGTGCTCTGCGCTGGGTCCCCCGCGGCAGAGCCGTCGGACCAGTGACTGGTGCCTTTGTAGTGGAAAATGAACTCGTTATCCAGGCTCCGGCAGGGCGAGTACAGGCCAGCGTCGGCGACGGTCGCCCAGTGCAGGTTCTCCACACTGCGGTACAGCCGGGTTTCTGAGGCACTGGCCAAGGTTGCCTTGCCTACGTGACAGGAGTCTACAGGGCCGAAGTCCCCAGCAAAAAACTGCGTGTCTAAGTTCTTTAGTGGATGCATGCTGCTACCTGCAAAATCCTTTAAGCCATGTTGTGCGTACAGCTGATTATTCTGGCAGCTGAGAATCACCCGGCAGTGTTCCTGTCTCTCATCAACACTGATGTATGTCATAGCAAATGTACATGGATGCTCTAACTCCCTGGCGTGTAGGGGGTGAGGAGGGAGCTGGCGGGTCGCTTAGATGAGAGGCAAAGTCCAGA